AAATTACATGGTTACATTCTTGTCATTTAGGATTTCTCTCTGCTGAATAGAATTGCCTATATCTTTGATACCTACGAAAACTTTTTTCTAATAGTTTCTAGGAACATCATAATGCCCATCCAACGTTCTCTTCCAAATTATCAGTAAGAAGTCCACAACTTTTATCCCCCGTAGCATACACTACAGCCGTTTTTTCACACATTAGATATCAACACAGACCATAATTACCTAGAATTATGCAGTAAGAATTGTGTAGTTATAATCTATTATATGGTCCTCTCGATCTCGGCTACATAGACAGACAGGGAACATCAAATCAAAAATGCCATTCTTCCTCTTGACACCTGTCAAACACAAATGTCTTTCTGGCACTTGTAACGTCAGGAGAAGCACAGATCTGTATTATTTCAGCCTTCACTTGGCCCCTATGCACACCACGTGATTAAGAACATTTTGCTCTTTACGAACGTTGTACATTATAAATGCATACCTTTAAATAGTTAAACGCTAATAAATTTTTTTATACCATTAACAAAAAGTCAAAAGACGGAACAGAGCCGCAGCCGTTCGTCCAATTTAATCTAATAAACAATAACGAATTTAGTGTTTGATATTATTTTTATAAAACTTTCGATGTACTTGTCAGACAGATTGAATTTGACCAAATTAAATGTATTATGGTTCGATTGAAATACTGCTATCCTTGAACCCAATGACCCCAAACTCTATCCAAACTTGAATGACCTCTTAAGGTTCCTTGTTAATATGTGAAAGTGGTAAAAAATACAAAAGTGGTATAAGAAAGTGTAAAAATCTACTGTTAGCACAAGTGACATTAACGTTGTAAAGGCCAGCATTGAACTATCCAACTGTCCTTGGCATGTTTCTATTAAACTTGAAATACATACACTTAGAAATAAAGGCTTAATGAGCAAAAAAGGTTTCAACAAAAAATATTTCACACCAATGAACTTGACCTTAGAGATCTTACGGAAGATATCATTAAATTAATTAAATTTAAAATAAATCCAACTTACCGTAATAGGTTCACCATACAAGACATATTTTCAAAGTGAAAAAGGAAATATTCGGGAAAATGGATGGCACAGTTATATAACTTGGCAATAAAATGCACTTTGGCCGAGGGATCACTTTGTTTCCAGAATTTTCTATTGATAAGTAAGTGTGGAAATTATGAAATAACAAGAATAAAGATTAACAAGGCAAAGGCACGTTCACATGACGCCGCCTCCGGACACACCCAAGTAGGGCACCCAGAATGCACCAAACAAAAACCTGGAGTGGACACAAGGGCGAAAGGAGTGGGACATGTAATGTGAAATAATATAAAGCCATTTGTATAGACATAACTTTAGATAAATCCAACTGGCCGGTTAAGGTTAACCTCATACGAACAGATTGACAGACGGACGGACATTTCAATTTATTTATGCACGGGGGCATAAAAACTATAAAGCATTTTGATCGTTCCATTTTTTTATAACATGTCACTAATTTTAGGCTGTCAGACTCCTTGACTACCAGCTTTAGGCTGTTAGACTGCTAAGTTCAGCGTCTTGGAGGTAAAGGTGTATTTTTTCATGGTAAAGGTGTATTTTTTCATAATCAAACATGTGTATGTGCTTTTGCATGACCTTTCATAGACATTTTTCTGTATTTTAAATCGTTTCAATATTTATAATATATGTCACTAACTTAAAGCTACTAGAATGCCGACTTTAGGATGTTGGATTGCCAACTTCAGGTTGCAAGGTTGATATCGATGTTAGGCTATCTGCTCAGAATGCTCGGCTACCGACGTGAGGCTTCTAGGGCGTTAGGCAAACTTCTAAGGCTGGTCATCAACAATTTAGGCTTCCTCTTCCGACTGCGAGACAATTTGTCTCCTCAGTCTACTAGGCCATCATTCTGCCGCCTCAGGAAGCCAGACCGTTAACCTGTCTCTTCTGCCAATTTTACAGACATGATTGTACAAAACTGGTTACGAAACAATGCCAATTTTGCAGTTTCATACAAATAGTAGACAATTGTATAATTATCAATATGTACTTGCATAAGATCAGCTAAAAATCGGACGCAAAACAATATTCAAATATTTACAAGATGAGAATTATTGTCGTCTTAATTGTAGCGCATTTTCATAATTATGTTTTAAAATCACTCGCTTTCAAACGGAAATAATTTGTCGCGAGTAGATATATTTAATTGATACAATAAAACTCGAGTTCAACATAAAATTACAGTTTGCAACATTTAACGGTAGTGTTGCAATATTTAATGGTGAGGGAAGTTCGGGAGACATTTAACTTTAACATTGCGACATTTAACGGCAAATGATTTTGCGACATTTGCCGGCGCTTTCGACATTTAGCGGCAAATGTGCGACATTAAGCGACAAGTGAGACATATAACGGCGCCGCAACCAATATAAAGCCTACAATTGAAATATACAACTGCGTTTTAGAAAATGATGCAAAATTATAATTTGAAGTATTTGGGCAACAATGGATAAAGCAAAATGATCTGTGTCGATTCCAAAGAATTTTATAAAAATTCTGGTCCGTTTCTAGGTGCAAGTTTACTATCACTTTTGTTTTATCAAATAGTTCTGCTAGCAACATATACCAAATGAAGCGAACAATTGAGGAAGGTGTATATACATATATCTGATTATCAGTCATTTCCAACAAAAAGAGTAAAACACAAAAATATACATTTTCATGTGAAGATGGCGGTGTTTGTTTACGACCAAGTTATGATTCCCAGCCCTGCACTATATCAAAGTGCAATTATCACTGAAAAAATTTATGAATACTTCTGATAACCTTATCTTTCGTGTCTATGATGCTTTTATCTCCGACTTGCATATTGTATATAGCTTTCATTGCAACAGTTTTTTTTACTGCAGTTTTGACTGTCTATTTTCCGACAAGAAATCTGATTGGGTTACCATGCTTGTGTGTTGAGGACAGATAATTATCAAGGAGCATTAGAAAAATATTTAAGAGAGAATTAAATATGAATGCATGCATGCATGCATTTTCCTCACCCTGTGACACAAGGAATTTAGAATCTTACAAAAAAAAGGTTTTTCTATTCGCAAGAAAAACAATATTGACATTATTTACAAAAAAAATGATTACAATCAACAAAACTATTTTAAAAACGGATTTACAATAAAATGATAAAGAATAAAATAAAAGATAAATAAAAGAAAATAAATAAATAAATAAAATGCAAGGCAATGCAGGCAGGCAAGGAAGCATAATAAATAGATAAATAAATCAATAACATTGATTATACATCTCTCATAGATTCTTCTTATCTTAGAATGTTTTAAACTACAGTAAACAGAAGTGAAAATTGATGCTTAAAGAAAGTAAATAGTTTTACAAATTTGTCCCATATCATTGGCATATCATTTCAAGTCTATTTATTCAATCTCTAAATAATGTAAACAAAATATTGAACCAAAACCTGTATATCTAGGAATTACGATATATTTAACGGCTACAGTGTACCTTACGCACACTTATATAAAACATATGCTGTTATAATTTCATGTAAAGAAAATAACTTGAAATGAAAAGTAGTTTTTTTTCTTCTGTATATCAAATATGCGAGAACAGCATACGGTATAGAATAGTCTTAAATCATTGAAGGAAGTTGTAAGCTGTAAAGTTTACCTTTCTTTGTTGCTCGAACATTAAAGCTATAAAAGATGAAAGTTGTTTTGCTGTTTGTGTGTTACGTAATTTTTTTAAGTGACGGATTTACGGAATTTAATCAGGCTTTTGGCGACGAAGATGAAGTTGTAAAATTTAATTATAATCAATATTTACAGAAACCACATTCTACGAGAGTGGATTCTAAATCTAAAGTAGAAACGCTTGGAAATATCCTAAAAGGTGAGTTGATTTATTAAAATAATAAATACCATATTTATGTATTGTAAAAATAAATAAATAAAATGAAGTAGTAGTATAGAGAACGCCTTAAATAATGCTCATATAAGTTGGCATGTCATTTGTTTTATTTTAGTAATTAACATGATTCTATTACATAAAGTTCTGCACACAAAAAAATGCAACAAATAAACAACAAAAACAACGACAACACAAAGATGGTTTCATATGCTTTCTCAAAAGAGCACAACTTTTTGCGGGGAAATTCATTAGAGGCAATCTCCATATCAAAAGCACAGGCACGAGTATCGGACGTGGGAAGAAAATATGACAACATTGATACAAAATCTCTGCGTTCATCACAAATGTATCAAAAAAATGCCCCCTTAAAAATATATTATAAGTAAACTTATAGTATATTTTCAAGGGGGCATTATTTTTGTTGGTTTTTTACACATTTAAGATTAACACAGAGGTTTTTTATCAATGTGGTCATATTTTCTTCCCAGGCCCGATACTCGTGCCTTTGATTAAAAGCGCCCAAGCCACATATCTCTGTTACGTACGAGCGTTATCTGCGTCACTTACGAACATGTATCACATACGCACTGCATTTCCTTACCCATATAAACTGGTCAAAATTTGGGTGTGCAATTATTGTGTACCAAACCACGCCTACTTTTCACATTTTGGTGATCTGTTTAAATGAGAGCCTGATGAGAAAAATGTTCTACGTGGCATAGCATTCTTCGATCTTTGAAAAAGAAGCATATTTTTTAAAATCGGATGATTTTATAAACTGCGTTTACCTTTTTCTGCTTTGTTTTGGTCGATGGCTCTATAACGGAAGTGTCGTTGGCTCTCATTTAAACAGATCACCAAAATAAGAAAGAGCCACTGTTTAGTAGGCATGCAAACGGTCGCTTTTTGTTGAACATAGCGAAACTCCTATATTCGTACCCGAAGCACACGCACACATTACGCGGAACATAACACCATTAAAATTCGAGTGCCGGTAATTGTCCATGAACACATTCTTGAAACTGTTTGTCATTTAAAAAAAAATAAAAATTTATGTTTATCTTTCACACTGGCCACATTCAAGAGCTAAAGAAAACAGCGAACAAACAAATTGATCTGGTATTTCTAGTTGACAGTTCTACAAGTGTCGGGGAGAACAACTTTAGAAAAGAAATCAAATTCGTAAAACAACTTTTGTCAGATTTTACTGTTGATGTAAATCACACGCGGGTCTCGGTTATTACGTTTTCCTCACGTGGGCGCGTGATTCGTCACGTGGACTATTTAGCAGACGACCACAAAGACCGCCACAAATGTTCCCTCCTTGAAGAAGATTTGAAGCAAATAACATATTCAGGCGGAGGTACCTTTACTCTAGGAGCTCTCTTGGAAGCAAAGGTAAACAAAAAGGCTTATTTGCACAGGTTCACGAGGTCAAATTCTTAATATTGAATGCTTTTTTTCTAACGGGATTCCGAATGTTCAAACATTTAAAGGTCTAATGCAATAAGAGTGTCATTTTTATCATTTTTTGAGAATTCAGACTACAGTAGTGTTCCCTATAATGCTAACATCAAACTAAGTTAGGATCTACTGATAAGTGCGTTATGTATACTTTTTAAAATAGTTAAGGTCACAGCTCGGTGTGTTGCAATCCATCCTGGAACGAATACATTACCGGAAAGACTTATTGATCTTTGAAAATAATTGATTGATAATACATAGCTGAAACCGCCTCCGTGGTCGAGGGGTTAGATCGATGACTTCTAATCCAGTTACCTCTCTGGCGTGGGTTCAATCCCCGGGAGATGCCTTGGTAGTTTATCGTGGAGGAAGGTAGTCTAGTACTGGTGTAACTATCCAGGAACGATGGTTAGGAAACTACCCGCCTATATGACTGAAATATTGTTGAAAACGGCGTAAAATGAAACAAACAAACAGCTGAATATACGGTAAAAAGCAAAAAAACCAACAAACAAACATAAACTAAAAAAATCAATCAAAAGGGAGTATTCAAGTAATATTTGTAATAACAACAATGAACTCGCAATGTATATATTTTTCTTTACCATACATGTAAATATAGATGCACATCTCGTTTTATGTTAGACAGAATGCTACGGTGCGAGGGTGGATATTTGTTGTTGTTGTTGCATACGATAGTACGGATTCTGGAATATAAAAATGTAAAATTGATGGAAGCTTCATTTAGTTTATTGTAAAAATAATTTCAAGAATGGTCAGTAGTAACATTTATAGATGACAAGCGAGTATGTTGTAGTGACTTAAAATATAATCAATTGAACAGGACACACAACCTCCTATTTTGCGTTTTATTATTTTTCAAATCGCTATCTTGCTATTCTTTATTATTCAGAAAGTCTTGACAAATGCCCGACAGACGGCGAACAAGGCGATATTTTTAGTAACAGATGGCTTCTCTAACGGCGGTAACCCTAGACCGGTTGCCCGAAGACTTAGGCGACAGGGAATTAAGATATTTACGTTTGGAATACAGAACGGGAATGTAAGAGAACTGTACGACTTTGCTTCTCATCCAAAGAACGAGTCGACCTACATTCTAGACAGTTTTGAGGAATTTGAAGCACTTGCGAAAAGGGCTCTACATGAAGGCACGTTATTATTTTCTTTATCTGTTATATGATATGAAATCTGTCTATATTTCATGTAACTACATAATTTGGGACAACACTTTATATGCCGACTGTCAACTTTTCATGATATTTATAATATATATCAATATAATCATTTGAGGCGTCCACAGCCAGGTGGTTAAGATTCAATTGTTCATTAATTCAAAAAGGATCGGGTTTTAACATTACTATCATTTCAAAACAATTCAGGTTTGAGAAATTACATATAAATCAGAATTTCAAACCGAAAAAAACGACATAGAAAGTTATGTAGTCTACTTTCAGTGGTATCCGGGTTGAAATTATCTTGATAAAGCAGAAAGCCAGAAATATGTATACCCATGTATATTGACATCTTTTAGTAGATTATGAATAGCAACGTCTTCTCCCTTTTGAAGTTCTAACACCGCCGTCAAGCTAGAGGTCGCGTCACACGCGAGTCTGTTCCATAAAGATATATGTTAGCGACGCCTTTTCCATTCTGTACCATCAGACAGTGTATAGTTCCACTATTTACACCGAAAATACGTACGTTCCAGTTACGGTAGCTTGGAAATCCAAAGTATGGCTGCTATAAGCATTTCCTACGTTTATACGAACGTTTGATTAGGAGCAACGTGTCCCAAATGATGACTTCTGATTGTTTCAAAAAATGGAACATTGACGTCGCTTTCTATTTTCTTTTGCCTAAAAAGATTTTTTTCTAAAATGACTGGTGTCCACACCTGAAAAAAGATGAGACCCTTGACCCACCATAGCATGCCAATTTTAACAGTCCATGTTTTTTTCCGTTTTTTTCACTACGATTTGATTTGTTTAAGCCCTATGATACAAACAATCGTATACATAATTTTATTTTGAGGTATAAAATAATCTCATGTTCTTCTGTAGTAATTGATATCGTATTGGACTCTAAGATATTAACAACAGACACAATGAAAGTTTTAAAAATTCATACAATATGACAAAATATTGTCTTCTGAACATAATACTAGTATATATGTAAATTCACTAAATAACTGTCAGATTACACTACCTGTACACATATAATATTAGATGTATGTGTGGAGATTTTACTTATACTATTATATGACCTTTTAAAGTGAAAACTAAAGTACATTTCGTGCAAATAAGCAACTACCAACTTTACATATAATCATACATATTAAAACCTGATGTTGAAATATCCAAATCATTTCTTTCCAGAGCTTTGTAAGTATCTGTCGAAAATTCTACATTTGATTTCATTTTTAAACTCCCCGAAAAATTTCGGGGGAGCATATAGTCGCCGGGTTGTCCGTCCGTCTGTCAGTCCGTCCGTACATACGTACGTACGCCCCGAGTTCAAGTCCGGTCCATAACTTCGTTATTTGAAATATGAACGAAGTCGGATTTTACAACTATTTCACAGAAATGATCACCATATTGAGACGACATGTCGCGCGCAAAGTTGGGTCGCTACCTTGAAGGTCAAGGTCACAGCATGACCTTGCAGCAAAATCGTGTCCGGCCCATAACTTTGTTATTTGAAGTCGGATTTTACAACTATTTTACAGAATGATCACCATATAAAGACTACGTGTCGCGCGCAAAATTTGGGTTGCTACCTTGAAGATCAAGGTCAAAGCATGACCTTGCAGCAAAATCGTGTTCGGCCCATAACTTTGTTATTTAAAGTCGGATTTTACAACTATTTCACAGAAATGATCACCATATTGAGACGACGTATTGCGCGCAACATTTGAGTTGCTTTTTCACTTTGAACCCTGTCTGTGACATAACTCTACACTACAAGAGGTATACCTTCCTGTGTCCAAAACATATTCGGGGAGCATCACCCGGTTCAACCGGCTCTTGTTTCTTATATGGTCGCGCGTTTGCAAGACTCGGATCTGAGTTCCCATTTGTTGGTACTCGGATTGTAGGGCAGTTATTTGTGTCTCAAGAGCTGCCACTTTCTGTCGAAGTTCGGTATTCTCGTCTGCTTGGAGATCAGACTTTACTTCCAACGTGTTAAATCGTTTAAAAATCTTCCCTCAAACATTTTCATCAGAGCGAACTTAAGTTTTTGTCTTTACTGCAATCACTTGCATCCATACAAAAGAATTACACAACAATATAAAAGCCAAGTCGCTAGTTGCATGACTCGTGTTTTGAAAAGAAAGTTTAAAATGAAAATTTGTTGATCATTGCAAATATTAACTGATAAAATATTGTAGGAATGAGATCCAAATGACGAACTTAAGTGCAAATTAATCTTACATCTAGTTCGTGGCGGTAATCCCTGGGTGACACGTGCTCACCGAAAATTTATTATTTTACTTTATTTCCCAGAATCACTAACAAAGAATACACGGATGTTTATAAAACTTCTGTCACGTTTGTATGGGACTGGTTTTTGTTGTTATATAATGGCACTTGTCCATATTCCTACACAAAAACAACACCAAGAACAATAGACAAACAAAACATATTCCCCTAACCTACAACAGTATAAAAACAATGAAAAATATAAAGCTTCTTAGTGTTTTGCAGATTTAACCTCCGGGAGGTATATTGAGCAAGTTCCCTCGAAATGTAATCGGCTGTGTGTAGACAGGGATTGTTGTGACACGGTCGCCACGTGCAATTGTGGCACACATACTGGCAAATATGAGTGCATGTGTCCCGCTGGATTTTTCGGTAATGGTCTGTTCGGAGGATGTCAAGGTAAGTTGTTCCCACAATAATATATATTGCGTTGATGTAAATACATAATTTGTTTTACATTTGGTCGAACGTTTAGCGGCGCGATACTTTTTTAAGCGAGGTGAAATGGCGCGATACGGAATAATGGCGGATGTTAGACTGTAAACACACGTCAAAGTGACTATATTTTATAAAATTATTACAGACATTGGCTATAAAAAATGCAAACTTTGTGTGAATGATGTTGGGCTCAGACCTAATTGTGTTTGATCGAAATCATAGAAGTGTAGGTACAATAGTAAAAAGGTTATTGAAGGTAAACGGCAGTTACTGATTTTTCGTTTGTGACAAAGTCATAAAATCAAAGCAATTTTCTTGAATGTTAGTTTTTCATTTTCGAATGCTTTGACAATACGTATAATTTATTATAATAAGTATAATATAGTTAACTGTTCACTTATGAAAGGAAACTTCTTTTCAGTAAATTATTGTCAACAGATATTGATCAGCCGATCTTGAAAACGCATTGTGCAGTACCAAAGGTTTTGCGTATAGTAAGTTTATCGGACCAAATATCATACGTACAGCAAGAAATACGAAAATATTGTATATGCGAAATAGATAGTTGTAACTTTTCGTGTATTTTGTTTAGCTATTTTGGTAAACATTATGTTGCTAGAACTAATCAAATAGTCTGTAATTGTATTCTTCCTTTATTTATGTCAGATTGCCGATGACATTTGAAGTAGCAAATATATCAATAACTTTCTCCTTACAATGAAATAGATTCTTTTATTTCGATAACCATATACAAATATATCTTCCGATCAGCATGCATTATATTATTTGAACAAAAATTACAACATACAACAAATATTTGAAGCAAACTGGTTCTTAGGCACATTATTTGTTACTTTCCTCCGACATATCGTGCCCTTTCACCTCGCTTAAAAAAGTTGAATACATGTACATGTAAGAAATGGAAATCATTGGTCATAGTTGTGTTTTCATGAGTCCTTAGGGAGGAAGATGTAAATTACTCTGAATGTGAAGTGATTCAGACAATTTAGTACCTACTAGTGCAATGTAAGTTTATTTCGTCTTATAATCCAGGGGTATTTATGATTCAGAGTATGCAGTTGTAGACTGTATTATAGACAATAATATTGAATTTAAGCGAGTCTATAGAAATATCAAATCCATTTTAATATATATGCAACATTGACAGCTTATTTAAAGGTATTTATAAGCTACATGCACAGTTGCTTACAGGAACTCCTCCGAGGTAAAAAAAAAACCTTAAACATACAATTTGAAAATCTTACATAGATCGAGTGAGTGCGTGATCTGAAATTTATTTTGCACACAAGTTATTGACGATATCAAACCTAAGTTGGAGTACTTTTAAAGCTCCCATTGTAGTGAGAATATTCATGTTAGAATGTATTGTTCTTAAAATCACCCTTCACCTTTCCTTGTAGAATGCCCATCTGGAACATATAAGCCCGAAAAAATTCCAGGAGATGTGTTAACGTGCATAAAATGTCCGGATGAAAATCAGATCACAGTACCCGGGGCCACATCGGTTCACCAGTGCGTGTGTAAGAAGGGTTACAGGAACTTTAAAAACAAAGGATGTGCAGGTAAGAGGCCGGTCGTATATTTTCCCGTCATATACTCCATAGATATAGCGTTCATATCATAGAAGTGCCCAACCATACATCATTTAAGTAATGAGTGTGCAAGTGGCGTCACCATGACGTTATTAAATAAGAACCATAAATGATTAGCTATAGGTGTGAATCAAGGACGTCAGTAAATCAAATCTACAACATATGAGATTACTTCTAAACCTTATCACTTCATCAAATCAACACTGTTAAGCATTGCATGAAAGTACCACTTCATGAAATCAACACGGTAATTCATTAAACTGACACAGATTTGTGATTTTCGACAACGGAAAAAGGACAATGCGGACAATGCGTGGACGTGTCGTAATATGAACGTGACGTTATACAGATTACGTACAAAACTACCCTATAAACCAGTTATTATTACTGTACCGTGTATTTAAATATTTTCTTTTTCATATCGTTAACTGGCAACATGTTTGCTGCAGATCTGTCACGTGATATATTTTGTTGTTGGACTTTTATATGTTCTTTTATCAACAATGTCGAACGATGTCACTTACAACCTGATGATTTATTTTACTTACATAGTGTTAAAATGTCCATCACTTGAAGTACCAAAGAACGGCTACTTTGTTAATGACAAGTGCAAACACGTGTTTAATGCGGCCTGTGGACTGCGGTGCAAGCCTGGATACGAGCTTCGCGGAAGCAGTTTGAGAATTTGTAGAGAGGACAGCAAGTGGTCCGGCACTGAAACTGAATGTTTTAGTACGTTAATGCAATATACTTGTAATTGCTTCATATTTTCCAGTTTTTAATGCTTTTTATGATGACTACAGAGGTAATAATCTGAGTTTCTTTTTCTGAAACCAACTTAATTATCAGTACGTTTTTTTTCTCATATTAATACAGGGCTATATAGTGTTCACTTATCGAAGTAAGAAAGTATACATAATTTTAAAAATAAATAAGAATTTGGACATATGGGACAGAGGGTTTATCTGAGTTTCATGCTGTTAGTGTTAGAAATATAAGAAGGAACGAAAAACGCAGACATGAATTATAATTCTACTTGATTTATTTACTCTCCAAATTTTAGTAAAAACTTGTCCAGCGTTGATGACCCCGAAAAATGGAAACATGATTTGTACAACAAACGACTTCAGTTTTAACACCGTGTGTAGATTTACATGTGACACTGGGTACAAACTTGTTGGTTCCCAAAAACGCACTTGTCTGGCCATAGCGTCCTGGACTGGAATAAATATACGATGCAGAGGTAAACATGTCTTTAAGAAAAGTAATTCATGTTTTGGCGGAAGGCCATCTTTATACAGTTTGACTTCCTGTACAACTGATGGGGAAGAACTGAATATTCATTAGAAGAAGAATTTTCATTAGTAATTTTAAATTACAAATTGTAATCTGGCATGCATACACCCTAACCTCCACCCCGAAAAAACACCCCTAAAACAAAAAACATATTTTTGTATCGTTGGCATTACAGAGAGTCTGCGGGCAATGTCGATAAAAACGATAAAACTATGATTTATTATCTTTATTAGAGATTACATGCAGACCGCTGCCGATTGTGCGAGATGGAAGTATCTATCCCCTGGCATGCACTGCCGGCGACGTAGCATTCGGAACCACGTGTTCAGTCACGTGCCATCCGGGATATTCACTGATTGGACCACACAGTAAACAGTGTCTTCTCGAAGGGGTTTGGGCACCAGCTTCAGATATTAGTCAGTGTGTTGGTAAGTCGGAAACCAGTCAGGCCACAGTATCCTATCGTTCAGTTTACATCATCTAGAAACAAGTAACATTTGTGATATGTCGAGTTGACGGTATGATGGCTTAAATCGCTCATACCGAGACGAGTTTCGGATGTAAAATTCTGTCCGACAAAAAAGACTTACCTGCAAAAAATTTATATATCTTCGTTATCACTATCGGAGACGATGGAGAAAAACAGTTTAACTTTCAAATTAAGAAATTAGAAAGATGCATTCTTCCTAACATTTCAAAGAAAGTATACATTTTGTGAAACTGTAAACTGAAAATTTATTGTCATCAAAGTAAAAAAAATGCAACTAGATATTTCAGTTCTAAAACATAAGTGACAAAATTAAAGCCAATAGCAATTTATCATTTCAGTAAGGCTTCAATAGGTTTTGCATTATAATATTTGTAATCTATTTTGAAAATGATGCTTTAAAGCCACCATAAATACTTTTGGTACCTATACCACAAATGTCACGTGATGCCATTGCCTCTGTATAATAAAAATATTCTCAAAATATTCCTATTATAATATTAATTATAAACTATATAAGTTTCACAATTTATATTTCATACAGTCAAATGGTTTCAATGTACTTGAAATTAGAAATGGTCTAAGCTGTAATATCATTCATTTAGAACTTTTTGCGCATGGCAAGGAAAGCAATGCTAGTCAGATATATACATGTATATGTATTCAAATTTTTTAAATCATTGATATTTCATATCATTTTTGGCCAGACAGTTCTAACTTGTCTTACACTCACTTAAACCTGTTACAGACACGGAAGCGCCGTTCATAATGTGTCCATACAATATTGAAGCGGAGACGGATCTTAATGAAAACTCTGCCACCGTGTCCTGGCAGGTAAGACAAACTAATGAAACAATCATCACTATTTTTTCTACATTAAAACTGTTTCCCCATCTTTAAAAGCCATTTTAAAATCATAACCACACAGATGTTTAGATGACCAGTTAGTGCTTATTTACTTTATTTCGCAGCTGTTTAATGTCATTTAACCCAACAACGAATTACTTTAGAAATAAATAGAAGATAATGAAATCCATAACTATATGACATAAAAAGCAAAATTAAACTCAGATACAGTCTGCTTGACCAAAGATATGATAATATTTTCATTTTCGAGACTGCCAGATTTTTTTAGTTTACTTGTGTGTACGATTTTACGTATTCTATAATCAATACCTTGAACGAATAAACACGAAGCCATGAATGGGATTGGACGCGGAAAGCAAGCCATGCATTACTAGCCCGAAGCGTTAACCATTTGCCATTGTGCCAGTTCGGGAATATTTGTATGGTCCTCATGTCCTTTATCTTGTAGAACCGTGTGTAATTTTATACAATTAAATGATAATAAAAACTTCTCTTATGATTCGACATACTAGTACTCTATTATACATTACAGGTACCTTTAGCAGTAGATAATTCCGGATACGATCCTATATTATCTTCCGTACCAGCGGCAATGCCACCTGAACGATTTCCCATCGGCACGACAAAGGTGACGTATTTGGCCGAGGACCTAAACAAGAACAAAGCCGATTGCCATTTTTATATTATCGTTAAAGGTATGATATTGTGAGGAGCTACAATGAGTTTAAAAAGATTACATAATGTCAGTATCCAAATGTTTTCAACATTGTAGGATATATTACTAATGAACTGTTCAATTTTAAGCACGTTTTCACTTCAAATGTAAGACTCAATAACCCCTCATATGAAGTTCATCACGACATTATGAACATAAAACAAGGCCATTATGCAAAAAGTACGGCCTTTATAAGGACTCGGCTATTATGAGATTGGAGAATTTTGATTGGCTCTCCAGCTCGGCCATTATGAATCTGCTTTATTTTCCATTGGAAAAAAGTCGCCATTTTGAATTACTGCAAGGTAGGTTTCCGAGGCATTTTTAAAACAAGCATCTCATTTGCAATATCTCACAACAACGGAATTTCACATTAGTTATTTTTGTTCACTTAGTACTTAACTTTTTTAGATTAGGGTAGTGTGAAGATTATTAATAAAATTGTCAGTAATTAAGTGTTTTCATAATGGCCTTGTTATTGGGCTTTAAACTGTCATATAAGCCTTCGGCCTTTGGCCACATACTAATATGACAGTCTTCAGCCCAATGAAAAAAAACAAGAATAAAGATCAACAACGGCAAAGGCAACGTTCACAGGACGCGGCCCCCGACACACTCAATAAAAAACCTGGAGCGGACATAAGGAGGAAATGAGTGGGACATGTAATGTGAAATAATATAAACTAAAACAAGCCCATAAGGGAATTAAAGGGATAAAATGGATAAGGGCTGTAAAGGTGAAAGGGGGGGGGGTTAAAAATTGGTGAGGGGGGGGATTGAGAAAATTGAGAAAACACTTAATTATTAACATTATTATATATCTTTCGTTTATAAACTACATTTCTGAAGAACAACGGAGCATCTACAACCATTTTGAATTGCAATTTGTAGAGAAAAAAATAGTTCATGTATTCGTTCTTCAGATAATTATAATTAGGGAAATAGCTAGTGGTTTCCTCAGATTTGATTATAAATGAACTGTTCTACCAAACCACCGGCTCTTATGTAATAAAGCAGTTCAAGCAGTTCGGTTAGATTTCAAGAATAATAATATTTTTTTAAAATCATAGATTGCATGGTTTTCGTTCGCTGTAAAGAACAAATATATTGGTCTTATTTTAAATGGAGATAATTTCAAATAACTCTTGTACTTACTTTTATTCATTATAATTACTTATATATTATGTCAGACAAACAGGTGCCGACCATAGACCGATGTGTTTCTCCATTACCAATTGTGTCACCGGAACCTTACGCCGAGGTCTCGTGGGAAGAGCCTATTTTTAGTGACAATTCCGGAAATGATGTCAAGATTAGACGAACACACTCACCGGGTCTTTTCTCACAGGGCAAAACGGAAGTGGTCTACACAGCATACGATGATAGTGGAAATAATAGATCTTGTGTTTTAAGTATAAACGTCATCCGTGAGTATTTATTAGCTAAATTTTATATTTGATGTTATATATTTCTATTTTAACCTTAGTATAGCAATATATTTCAGGCTATAAATGTCACTGCTTCATATCTTAAAATTGCCCCGCAGTTTTATTGTATGGCTCTTTTGAAGACCTTTCTCAGACCAACCATTTTCCCTTTTCTGTTTTCAGCTCATCCATGCGAATACCCTCCTATCCCGTTAAATGGTAACAGGGCATGTTTCGAGGACAGCGAGGGCGTAGTTTGTCAGTTCACGTGCAAAGAGGGATATGATTTCGCGATACCGCCTGCGCGTGAATATAGATGTGCATTTGATAACGTATGGGAACCAAAAGACCAGACACCAATTTCAGATTGTTCAGGTAATATCGAAATCATATGACTTGTCAGATGTGGTCATATTCTATTTTTGAACCTCTCATATAAACAAAATTGTCATAACTTCAAAACCAAATACCAAATCAGCTTTCTTCTTTGGTTGAACCATTGATAACAAATTTATTTCCGTTACAGAGTCTTAATCAACGTTTTCCCACAACAGGAACTAAAGCAAGATAACACTAATGGTTTGATCTTCCCCGCCCCTCCCCCTGCCCCCCCCCCCCCACAAAAAAAATTCTGATCGTATAGTTGTTTGTTTTTTTTTCATTTGCAGCCTACAATTATAAAAATTGTATATACGCATACCAAAAGTGTCAAATTCTGCCTCCTTTTGTATGGTATTTTAAGGCATGTGGTCTCCAATGTAAATCTGTAGAATTTACTTGTCCTAAACAACTTTATATGTGATTGAAGTAAATCGCAAAGCAGCGTTTCTATATTCCAGCGGTATCAAATGTTTCTCAAACAATCTTCAAAGGACTTTGAATTTAAGTCTCCCTACAATTTTCTGTTAACAGAAAATCTTAAATTCTAAGTACAGTAAACTCCGCTTATAACGAACTAATTGGGACATTCAAAATCTGTTCCTTATATCCGGAGTTCCTTGTAAGCATATAGCGAATTAGTTCCCTGTATCAGGAGTTTTTATAGCGAACAGATTTACATATAACGAACTGATTGTTTACCATCGTCCTCCATTTTGAAGAGCATTTGATTAAGAAATATTAGTCATATATTCAATACCCGAGAGCGTACTTTTTGGAATTTAAATAATTGCTATTCCAGTTTAAGATTTACTCCCTATGTCAATTTCTCATAAAATATAATATTTTGTTTCTAAACTCTTTTCGTTTTCTTTCTATGATTGAGAATAAACAAGATTTTGAATATCTACTTTTATAATTTAAGGAAGATAAAGATTTCTTTTAATTTAAATCAAGTGTACATTGCAGATTGCAAGCATGCGTGATTATGATGAAAACCGATTATAAATTATTATAATTATTTTACTCGAGCACAACTATTGACGAAAAGAAATAAATAACCGTTTTATCTTGGTGAAAAGAGCTCATGCTAAAAATATCCTAAATAGAAAACTATACAAATTCATTTTAATAGATGTATTGAAGTACATACAACGATAAACGGTACATTCGGCCGAGTTTTAATCCGTGCCAATGAAAACGAAAGTCTATTTACGGATAGCCAATATTTTGGAGTTCGTTATAAAAGTGTAATTTTCTGTACTTTTAACTAGATTGGGACTAAGAAATGAGTTCCTTATAAGCGATAATTCCTTATAACCGTGTTCGCTATAACCATATTTTTTATATTAAATAAAGAAGGGCAAAATTCGGGCCAAAATAAATTGTTCCCTATAACCGGAAGTTCGCTATAACCGTGTTCGCTATAAGTGAAGTTTACTGTACCTAAACTGGGATACACACCCTACCCTTTTTCTTTCTTTTACAAGTAATATTTATATGGTATGTTTTAGCATTACAGCAATCTCATGACGTCATACAACCGGCATCCTTAACCTTTGCTGGCTTAGTTGCTTGCCAGCAACGAATTGTGCTTACAAAACTGGAGAAGGACTTTGAAAACAGAGTTACAAAACGTGTAAGTATAATTATGATTTATCAATGTATAACATACTGTTTCAATATACGTAATATATCTAGATCTCGTGATATGTCAAGTACTCGATCATTCGTCATTTTTTTTTTTGAAAATGGAGTGAAATCATCTTATGAATTGCTACAGTAAACTGTTATTTTGGCTTGATGATTGAATGGTATTGATTTTCAGATTTTTATTTTCATTTCCAGATAAATGAACTTTGTGAAGAAGGCGTGGAGTGTTCTATCCGGAACCTGAAAGCGACATGTGAACAACAAGATGGTATATATTTACTACACGCTTATCATGTGCTTATCAATAGAACTAATATTCATGATAATAAAGTATAAACAGTAATTCAAGTATTTGTATTGCCCATATATTTTCATAAATACAACAATATCACTTCTAGATGACCCCATATCTCCCACTTCCTTCTCCCAACTTAAAGAGGGATTCCCCAAAATGGGAAATGCTTTCAGTCCGTTCAAATTATCGAATCAGCCTTTTCCAGTAAAATGGTATATGTTTATCCTGCATAAACTCGAATATCTTGTCTAGATATGAAAACACATTTTTACTTTATATTGTTACGAGCTAAACGCAACAGAGAAGATAGCGCAGCAACAAATGTTACAATAAAAGAAAAACAGTTATTTATAATAATACAATAAATATCAAAAGTAAAAATTAACTCACAATTATCTACGATTCAAATTTAACAAATGTCCTAATGTTTAAATCACAGTCCGAAATTCAATTGTTCACATCTCACATTCAATCAATGACCAATGTCCAAAGCAGAATATCACAATATATCCAAAACACTTCCAACACATAATTTTAGAATCCAAACGTATATATTCCTATGTATGCTTCACGATTTAATAAGAACAATAGCACACAATCATAATATCAACATCACACAATATCACAAATTAGCACACACACACACACGTCGAAGTACAAACGTTCATCTTATCAATGAGCAATCTAGAATACTAAACTACTTAGATAAAGAATACTCCAGAATGAACATGAAAAGACTTTCTTGAAAGAAGATGAACGAACAAGAAAATCTATAAAAACATCAAATAAACAAAATTATTAAAAATGGTAGTGGCATTAGTAGGTATCAAACCCACGACATCGAGATTATCAGTCCTGAACAATTCAGAAACTACATACTAAACAGATTTATAATAAAGGCTACATATTCATTTTGGCTCGAATGTGATGAAAACTTAAAGCTAATATGAACCCCTTTTGATTCCGTTGCTTGGAACTGATATCATCTGAGAAAAAAATGTAAGACCGAGAAGGGCCCGAACGTATGGTCACTGCACTGTGTTAACCCTTTCCCTCATGAGCATATTGTGAAAAATGTCCATTTTCATTGAAAAGCCTCCTGTGACAAGTTCAAACTGCTATGAAACTATGAAAAATGCTTCAATACTAATCAAACTTGGCAAAAATGTTGACTGGACCATTGCCTTTATAACGACATGCTCAGTCTTAAATTTCCTGTTACCATGGCAACGAGGGGACATCTTAAAATTGCCAGAAAATCACTATTTTGCCTTGATTTCTTCCATCAAAATTTATTTCAAAGTGCTGCAACTTCTCAAGGGATTGAGATAGAGTCAAAGGCTTTTCAGCGTTGGTTACACGTTACCTTATAATCGAACTAGGGTCATTTTTAGCCTCTCACAAGTTCAAAATTGTCTTGGCGATGAGGGGGACTCCCGCCCCCCCCCCTTCAAACCCCCCAAACAGAAGGGGGCATATACCCCTTCTGGCAACCCCCTGATGTATCTTTTGGATGGGGGCGGCGCCGAATAAGTGCTCACTTTTTAGCAACATTTCTCAAACGAAAACATGTGTTTGGGGCCCAAATAGGACATTTTTGCACTATTTGAGGCCTAAAAGGGGGGTCAAAAGTGCGTTGTTTTGCGTATATATGAGGTAAAGGGTTAACAAAAAATGATGAAAATCTTTGGAATTACCCAAAATCTAGTTTTTCCATGTTAAAATGTGGTCTTTCACCTAATTTTGGTGAAAAATTGTTGTTTTGTAACATTTTTAATTTTTTTAGTTAACCCTTTCCCTCAGAAGCATATTGTAAAAAATGGCCATTTTCATTGAAAAACCTCCTGTGACAAGTTCAAACTGCTATGAAACTATCAAAAATGCTTCAATACTAATCAAACTTGGCACAAATGTTGACTGGACTATTTTCTTTGTAACGACATACTCAGTCATCAATTTCTTGTTACCATGGCAACGAGGGGACATCTCAAAATTGCCAAAAAATCACTATTTTGCCTTAATTTTTCCATCAAAATTTTATTTCAAAGTGCTGCAACTTCTCAAGAGATTGAGATAGAGTCAAAGGCTTTTCAGCGTTGGTTACACGTTACCTTATGATCGACCTAGGGTCATTTTTAGCCTCTCACAAGTCCAACATTTTCTTGTGTCTAACTAAAGAATATATGCATTCTATTTTAATAAAAGGATCTGGATTACGCATCGGTCTTGGCCGCGATAAAAGAAGAGTCATGAAAAGAATAAAGAACAAACGTTTAAGGACGCAAAGACAGACAGAAATACAGACAGAGACGATAGAAGACAAGCAAACCATTATAACATTCAATTACCTCGTTGCAGGTAAAAACTATTATGATATTTTATATCTTAGTTTTTGGGGTAGCATCTTCAGTTAATAATTATGATAATTATTATCCTAATATCGATAGGTTGATCCGATTTCAAAAATTTTGAGATCACAACAGTTCTTCATATACTTGATTTGTTTACAAAAACAAAATATTTTTTCAACTATTTCGAAAAATTGAAATACATTTGGTACTTTCTTGGGTGTATAGACTAGTTTATTTTAGTAGTTTCTCCAAGTGGGAGACTCTATAATTGACAGTTCTTAAAGCCCTTTGGGACTGCATTGTCCTAATGTTCGTCTTCTGCCTTGCTTCGTCGGGCCCTTGTAGGTGATTTTCTTGTTGCTCTGTCTTCCTTTAGGACATTGAGTACTTTTGTTGTAGTCATTGGATTTACTTTTTTATATGTTTCTACATGATCATTTTGGTGTTTTACTTATTTAACCTTTTGTAACCATAACAACTGTTAGAATTTCACTTGGCGGGGATTCATTTTCACTGGGTCGTATGGGGGTTACGTTCATTAAACGCTGCCTTTCCTTGTTGATCTTGTTTATCATATTATATTCTCTAGTTTAAATTGAAACTAATGTTTCATGAATATTTTCACGAACAAGTCTCTTCGTTTTTCTTTGGTTACTAGTAGTTTCTTTACCAATCAAAATTTTTTGTGAAATTATTATCGACCTTTCTTTAAATAAAAGAGCACAATATCAAACCATAAATGTCTGTAATATTAAAGGGTCAGCCGGGGACAAAAAGTCGTCTTCGTCCAGAAAAGCACTGACTCAAGACCAATTACTTCATGTGGTAGAAAATATCAGGACGTTGTTAAAGAAAGATGCTACAAGAGGAGAGTTTAATATTGAAGTTAAAGGAAAACCTTTAGAGCTTCAAGACATGAAGTTTGACGATAACCCGGTGTTTGAATGCGAACAAGGCAGTGTGGTGGTAAATAGCGCATGTGGTAAGGTCTCTACGTGTGTTTGATATATCGTTGATTTTTTAAACCAACATGACATTAGTAATATATGAAACATATTTTTACCCTTAAAAAGTTCCTGATTAAAATATTTAACGATAAAGGTGCATGCGTTATAAAAATAACTTTATTAACTTGTTAACTTTTACAATATTTGATTTTAACAATAACAAAATGTCAGCTATTCATATATTTATTTAAGGAAAATACGCAACATAGGGCCAGCTAGCAATATTGTGACTGATCCCATTGAACATTACATACTGCATGTTTATGCTTTATCTCTCTTTTAACTACTTAATGAACTTTAGTCAAATCACCAAGCACATTGCTTATTCGAAACTTCTTGCTGAACCTGGTTTCACATAATTTAGCAACTCACTATCTCAACATTACTCGTCCAGCTTTCATCATTTCGTCTTTCGGATCATTCACTCAACATATCACTTTTTTCATCATCGAACAAATAGCTTGTTTAAATCTGCTCCAAATAAAACTCTTGGAACACTACTCTGCGCATTTTCCCCATGCTCATAGCTCATTGAACATTTCATAATGAGCATTATTCATCATTTCACCAAACACATCTCACACATATCCCTCAACACCATACATAAAGGTTTTTAAACGCCACTTACCGTGCATTTTTCACATAAACCGATAAATTGATCATTATGGTTATTCCTAACTAGTCTTGGCTGCTTCCATGCCATGGATTTCCGATTATGCAAATGAAAAATTGTTCTTTTCATTTACTTAATAATGTGATTTTCAAAACATGTTTATCTTACCAGCTAAATGCCCAGTGGGCACTTTCTTCAACGTCGTATCGGAACAGTGTGAGGCGTGTCCTATAAGAACATTTCAGCCACTCGTAGGACAGCTTTCTTGTCGATACTGCCCCACGAATACATCGACACCCAGCCTCCATGCTTCAAGTGAAGACAGTTGTAAAGGTTTGTGAAAGTGCATGGTCTTTTTTTCCGTAGTGTCAGAACAAATATATAGTCATATACATTTATCGTTGCTTATTTTAGAAACTATATTCTTACAAATATTAAAAATATTTTGTATAAATAATAATTTATAGAAGCGTTAACTGAACAAACATTAATTAAATAAATGTAAATATAGCTATGGTCTGTTAAAGCAGAGGCTGACTTGCATGGCATCTAAAATGTTAATTTCTTGATGAACTTATTTTGCAATAAGAAAACTTAAACAATCTTGATAAGGTACATTTAGAGAAGTAAAACTATAGGAGAAGGGCCCAAGATAATGTCGTAAGAACTTTTGGGCAAACCTTTTTGTATCTACACTTGATGATTATGTTTGTAAAATCATAAAATTGTATATTATATGCATATTATTGCAACAAAAAATGAAGCAAACAAAAAAAGATACACTACGGTCCCTCCCAATATAATCCATCTCGGAATATAAACATGAATATTAGTAGATGATTTCAAGTCAATATAATATAAAAATAACATGAAATGACTTGAAATATTTTTCCTGTATTTGTGAACCATTTGATGTGTATTTTGTTGTTTTTTTATTTCCATTGATGAATGCAACAAAATAATTTTGAAATTTCATAAGAACAATGCCTTTTGCTATCGTTTTAAGATATCATGTTACTATTTTGAGACTTTTTTTATGGAAAACATAATGAACTTTAATATTATCGATTTGTTGTAGCTCAGTGTTTGCCGGGGACATTTTCACATAATGGTTTAGAAATGTGTGAGACTTGTACAAGAAGTTACTACCAGGATGAATATGGTCAGACGGATTGTAAAAGATGTCAAAAAGGTTACACAACTATCAGACGAGGGTCAAGAACTGATAGTGAGTGTAAAGGTATGTTTAGTCTTGACTTTTGTGTACAAAAAAACACAGTAAACTTAACAATTCAACTTCCGTTAGAAAACATGGCCGTGTAACTCCCGATTAATTGGCTGGAAATTGTGACGTGAATATAATACAAACGTCGGTGTGTTGTCAACAAAATTAAAGTAGCAATCTGACATTTAACATTTGTTATGCTTTTTTGAATTCTATGATATTATTTGGTAAATAACACATAGCTGCTGGGATGATTCAGGATATATGTGTGTATATCAGCCAATATTCAAATGTTGACAATATCCGCTATCACACCGACAGCCATGCGTTATTTATGCTATTATTCTGAAAAATCTTATAGGTAGCATTTAACATTATATAATATCCAAGAATTAACATTACAAAATGCTAAACACTAAAAAGAAGTAGTTGCAAAAAACATTTTGTTCCGTCACAAAATAAGGGCCAATAAACACTTTTATAGCTATTAAAATATAATAATCAATCCGGGGGGATTAACTAGCGCAATAATAAATAGGAGATAATGCCCAATGGTAAAGTTTAGTAATATCACCAGAAGAATATGCGCTGGAGGGGCGTATCGGGTCGGAACACATTAAAAGGTACATAGAAGTTTTTCTTTGAATAACATTATGAGGTTTTATAAAGTATTGTCATAAATATCAAATAATCGATATTTATTAGCACATTACCAATTATCACTTTTGTAACCCAGAGACATGGTTGTATTTTTCAAAAGATTACTAAAGATTAAGACACTTTTTCTTTTTTTATATGGACATGATAACCTTTCAATCCGGTTTTTTCTTCAGAGAAGTGCGCGGAGGGATATGTGTCTAGGACTGGACTACAACCCTGCTGGCCGTGCCCTCGGGGGACGTATCAACCTAAAGGCGGAAAAAGTTCCTGTATTAAATGCCCAGTTAATTCAGACACAGCACATAAAGCGTCTACACAGATCTCTGACTGTGAATGTAAGTTAATAGTTATATTACTTTTTCCTGTTTTTCAGATTTCTTGTCTTTTTTACCAGGTTTATGTAATGCTGAAGTCAGCTGACAGGCGTCAACTTTTGTTTTCGCTCAATAACGTGAGTTTGTTTCGCCCTATTGACGCCAAACTTGGTGAGTGGGTAGATAATGTCAAGAGGCAGCTTAGGATTGCTACCCAGGAGTGTGTGATTAAGGTCAAGGTAACTGTTGTTAATAACAGAAGTTTCCGCTCAATAACTTGAGTTTGCTTTGGACTATTGACGCCACACTAGCTGTGCGGGTAGCTTATATCAAGAAGCAGCCTTAGATTGCTAACTAAGTGTTTGTGATCAAGGTCAAGGTCACTGTTGCTATAAGTAGAATTCAGTTTCCGCTGAACAACTTGAGTTTGCTTTGGTCCATTCACGCCAATAGCGTGTTGGTAGCTTATATCAAGAGACATGAGCATGGAATTTCTAGTCAAGGTCACTGTTGCTAAAAAAGAAATTCAGTTTTCGCTCAAAAATTTTAGCTTGCTTTGGCCTATTGACATCAAACTTTGTACATGGGTAGCTTATATCAAGAGGGAGCTTGGAATGGCTTCTTAGATGTGTGTGATGTTCAATGTCACTATTGCTAAAAATCGAAATTCAGTTTCCGCTCAATAACTTGAGATTGCTTTGGCCTATTGACGCAAAACTTTGTATCTAAGTAGCTTATATCAAGAGGCAGCATAGAATTGCTACCCAGATGTGTGTAATCAAGGTCAAGGTCACTGTTACATAAAATAGAACTACAGTTTTCACGTAATAACTTCAGGTAATATGTTGTTAGCCTATATCAAGACTCAACTTGGGATTGCTATCCCATCTTGTTCCTATCATAGGTTATATACATACATACATACATACATACATACATACATACATACATACATACATACATACATACATTTTGTTTGTTTGTTTGTTTGTTTCATTTTACGCCTTTTTCCAACAGTATTTCAGTCATATAGGCGGGTAGCTTCCTAACCATCGTTCCTGGAGAGTTACACCAGTACTAGCCTACCTTCCTTCGCGCTAAACTACCAAAGCATCTCACGGGGATCGAACCCAGGCCAGAGAGGTAACTGGATTAGAAGTCATCGACTCTAAATCCTCGACCACGGAGGCGGTTCATGGTTACCTATTCGTATACGAACTTGTGATGGGAATTATGGCACACACGTAAACACATGTACCGATAAAACTATAGCTAAATTAATATCAGTTCCCCTCTTAATAAAGAAAGTTTTAAATGAAGTATATGCTCGCCCATATGGTTCATTCCGGAGGCGAGGGTAAATAAGCCAAATACACACACACACATTACTTACCAGGTGCATGTGAACAAGGTCAAGATCACTGTTAATTAAAAAGGAAATTCAGTTTTAACATAATAACTTGAGTTTGCTTTCACATATTGACACCACACCAGCTAAGAGGGTAGCTTATATTAAGATGGAGCTTGGGATTGCTAATTAGATATCTTGGGTAAGGTCAAGGTCAATGGCTAACAATATAATTTTAGCTATATTTTATTTTTACTACATAATAATAGTACACTTTGACATATTGATTTCTGTCACATCAATACATGGTCGTTGAAAGCTTGGTTTCGTCGCAATGTCATACTAATTTCTGAAATGCAAAACCAATTACATAATATAGGGTTAACGCACGTTTTTCCGTGTCATAACGTCTGCAGAGTCCCGAGGAACGGTTGGTGCCCGAGCCCGGTAGGGCGAGGGTTCCAACAGTTCCGAGGGACTCTGCAGACGTTATAACACGAAATAAACGTGCGTTGACGCTATTATAGCATAAAATTTTAAAACAGATTCATGATGTATATTATATATAAAACACAAACATTAAATCCTTGTGCTTGAACGGTATTTATCCAACTCTACATGTTCTACGTATGCGTTTTATTTTTTCCGGGGCCAACAACTTCAGAACCGAACGAAATTTCGAATTTTAATTGATTTAACAAAGTTTAACTTTGGAGATATATTAACTTAAGAAAAACATAACATTACTCTACCAAAGACAACACAGGCGCCTCAGAATTTTCTAGAATGATTACAGATTGGCGGTAGGAAAAAGATCAGTGACATCAAATTCAATTTCAGAATCGCACGAGTTTAAAAAAAATCAGGCATAAACATTATTCTCTCAAATAAACATACAGAACATTTATCAATATAAACGTCAATAAAACAACGTTTTCTTATATTCATTTTGCGCTTTCCATTTTTGTAAGTTAATCGGGGGATTAAACTGAATGACAGATTCTTTTTGTTTACATTGACAACTGTCCGTTTCTAAGAAAGGGCGACAACCAAGATAAGCGGCGATGTCTATACGCCGTATTGCCGGCATAATTACTTGAATGCTGCTCGCCGTTATGCGACTGAGGCCCTCGAATTAATAATTCCAATATAACAAGAGCGCATGACTCTGGCAAACAGGCCAAATCGTCATTTTTTGTTTGTTTTCTGGGCCTTTTGTATGTATTGCGCATAGGTAAAACCGGGCTATAACAAGAGCGCGTGACAATGTTAACGCATGGTTTTGGCCCCGTTATAACATGGGCAAAAGAGGGAAAAATAGCCGATTTTATGCTATAATGCCTTTTATATCAAACTACTCCTCACTGTTTGTATGTTAAGCATTAAGGTTTTTCTTTATTTCTATAGATGCGCAGTCGGACGACCCTCAAAATATTGCAGCGTTTGAGGGCTTCGGAGAGCAGCAAGAGTCTGTGGAATTTGACGATTGTTTCGAGGGCTTGTGTTCAAACAGAGCCACGTGTAAACCTAAATTGCCTTTTGGGTTTGACTGCTTGTGTGCAGAAGGCTATACGGGTAAGTGTAAATACGTAATGTAAAAGTATTTTTGCTGATGAACACATGATATTTTCAAATTTGTTTAACGAAGGCGAGTGACAATAATAACTTTTAAAAAATATATAATACTTCATATTTAGCAGCGATATGATTTAATGGTTTATGTAACACTTTAGTTAATGCATAAATCAAAACCAGTACGGCTGTTACTCTGTTATTGAAGTGTAGAAATCTGGTAATAGAAATAAATAAAACGATCATATTTTACAGAAGATATGAAAATACATGGATTTTCAATCCTTACAAACTTTTTTTCTAACTTTTCATACACCTTTCTGATTATGGCATAATGAAGGGGTTTTATGTAGTAAATTGTTTTTATTAGAATTCAATCAGCATTTAATTGATTCCTTTGTACAAATCTGGCATGCTGATATTGTGAGTAGTCCTGTTTTATTATTATCAAAGGATATAAAAAATGTGTTCCAGTTTGAAAAATATATGGGTTTATTACCAGCAGCCTTAGGCACTATATTATTAAATTAAGATAATTAGCACATCCGCTACTTATATACAATTTGGTCGTTATGGTTCAAATGGGATACCAAGAAATTAACGTTTTTGTATATACTGTAGTTTACATGATATTGAAGATGAGTATCATTTTGTTTTGGTTTGCACTTGTTACAATGGCCTAAGAAAATAAATAGCCTACATTCAGACATTTTACTACGTTAGACCTAGCGTGTATAAATTTTTAGAATTATTATATAGTGATAAGATTATTTTACGTAGCCTTGCTTTGATATATATAAGAAAAGCATTGGCTATGAGAGTATTAGTTACACATCGTTGAATTCACGGTTAATCATCTGTATAACATAGCGTAGATAAATAATTATTGGTTACTTAATGTCTAACTTTAAACATAGATTACATTTGCTTTGCTAATATTTTGATATGATTTGTGTTAACGGAATTATAAATTAAGCAAAAAAAAACATGTGCTATGCTAACATTTGACTATGGTATTATTATGTAATGTGACTTATATTTAAATATATTTGATTGATTAAATTGTGTATGACGATGTATTTTGTACAAGTCTGAAATAAAGGTTCTGTTCTGTTCTGAAGTTTGTATGAATAGTTTTTCTTAATTACCTTTATTCGCTCAATTGTAGACATATAGCTTTAAGGAAGGACTCATTCAATTTTTTTTAAATTTAAATAATCAAATAATTGAACGACAGAAGTTACATTTATCTTATGAATAATGTATGGAAACACAGTAAAGTCCATTTTAGGCCATATAAATAAATTTTGGAATACAGAGACTATAAAAAATATAATAACCTTAAATGTCAGGAAGATTGTTTTGTTTCTACTCTGGGCATTAAAGACAGGCTAAAGTTTATTCTTGTAACATTGGCCTTCGGACCCAAATACAACACACAATAAAACAAAAATAAAAATACAATAATGAATATACATAGGATATTGTAATGAAAGCATTAACAGTCAGTGATAAGATATTTTTAAAAGACACATTTTCCCAAAAGTGTAAAATAAAAATGTAACAATGTAAATAGCATTTGCCTATTTTTACGATGTTTTATTTTTTATCCATAGGTGTGCACTGTGAAGAGGAAGTGAACGAGTGTGATGTTTACCCGTGCCAAAACGGTGGTACGTGCAAAGATCTTGTTGCAGACTATCAATGCACGTGCAAATCGGGTTTTACAGGTATGACCTGTCATTCACATTGTGTTTATTTAGCTGTAAACATGTGATTAAATAAATTAATAAAATATTTTTTTTGTCTGATCCATATTATCATGCTTAATAAATATATGAGGAATGAAAATATAAGAAATTAAATATTTTTAATTCTTTAGCCACTCCTAAAAAAAATGAAATTGATATTCTTGTGCATTTGACACAGCTGTAAAATGTGCCATGGAGAGGATAAAATATCCATGAGTGATTAACTAGCTATGAACATTTTGTTGAGATTGTTATTCTGATAATTTTGTAGGAAAGAAATGTGAGGCAGATATTGACGACTGCATTGGTTCACCCTGTGATAATGGTGGCACGTGTATCGATGAGACTAACGGATTCTCGTGCAGTTGTGCCAACGGGTTTAAAGGTATAAATAGTCAAACACTCCCATTTAATTATTTTCGTTCCAATTTTCTATTATCATAACCAACTGGGCGGCGCTGGCGTTTGTTCACCTTTTTCGTTCATGGTCATTTACATCAATATGAACAACATATTATAAAGATATACTTTATATGTGGATACATCTTGATGTGTTGCATATCAAACATATTTTCAGATGATAAGGTCAAAGGTCAAGGTTTCTTGGTACTATAATGTAAAACCATAATATCAAAACGATTTTGCCTAGAATTTCAAATTTTTACGTAGCTGCACTTTACTAGTTCTACCTGCCACACCCATTTGTCGTGAAAGGTCAAGGTCACTGTGGCCTGATATAAGAAAACGTTAAAAGTTTAGCCCAAAATGACTTTTGTTTACGTTTTTGATCAAGTTTCTTTTTATATTCAATGACTTAGAAACGTGATATGTGGATGTATATCCTGCATTTCAGGTCAAAAGGTCGACCGTGGTCGAAGGTGAACATGATATTTTATTGAAAGTTTCGTTATCTCTGTTTTGTGGAAGTTACTTTTTATTATAAAGAAGAATAGAAAGAATCGCGCTATTGCTTTTCTCGTTACTTTAGGTATTTATGGTTAAAATGAAATGAACCATTTCTACATCTCTTGTACGAACATTGTGTTTTTTCTTTATTCATTTTTATGAACGTGTCACTTTGAGCGTAATGGCGATTAAATTTCAAGAATATTTCAAGATTTAATTGCAATATTAGAATTAAGAAAGGTATTTTGGACTTGAATAATGACTTTCGCGTCCGTTTTTTATTTATATGCGAGCATTTAATTTAGTCTTTTAACGCTGATCCTAAAACATGTATGCACTATATTAAGCCAATGTTTTTGCTTCCTTTTAATTGTCAGTATTCAAACGTTTTTTTTTCACAAAATAGGAAAATACTAGCATTTCGTATATTGCAATTGACAATCTAATTTGTAGGTTCTATGTGTGAAGTTAATATTAACGAATGCGAGTCAGCGCCATGTTTAAATGGCGGCACATGTAACGATATGGTGGCCGGATATGAGTGTAAATGCCCAGATGGAATCAGGGGAGTGCAATGTGAGATTGACGATGATGATTGTGCTCATGGACTTTGTCAAAATGACGGGGCATGTAAGGGTTCGAGTGGCACGTTTAAGTATGTACTTTTTCAAGTTATGGGAGCTGCTTTTTATGCCCCCACAATGTGGGAGCATATAGCGTTGCACTTGTCCATCCGTCAGTCCGTCAGTCTGTCAGTCCGTCAGTCCGTCCGTCCGTCCGTACGTCCCGAAATCTTGTGAACGCAACTCCTTTTAAACCGGATGTCAGATTTTGCTTAAACTTACAGGGATGAACAACCTTAATGTGTAGATGGCAGTAAAGGAAGGAATTTTTGCTGCGACCAAATTTAAACAGAATTATGGCCTTTGTTGATTTTTTCACTAGCTACTATGTAGAAATTTTGTGAACGCAACTCCTCTTAAAACCGGATGGCAGATTTTGCTTAAAACTTACAGGGATGAACAACCTTAATGTGTAGATGGTAGTAAAGGAAGGAATTTTTGCTGCGACCAAATTTAACAGAATTATGGCCCTTTGTTGATTTTTTCACTATATACTATGTAGAAATTTTTTGTGAACGCAACTCCTCTTAAACCGGATGGCAAATTTTGCTCTAACTTACAGGGATGAACAACCTTAATGTGTAGATGGTAGTAAAGGAAGGAATTTTTGCTGCGACCAAATTTAAAAGAATTATGGCCCTTTGTTGATTTTTTCACTATATACTATGTAGAAATTTTGTGAATGCAACTCCTCTTTAACCGGATGGCAGATTTTGCTTAAACTTCCAGGGATGAATAACCTTAATGTGTTGATGGCAAGTAAAGGAAGGAATTTTTGCTGCAACCAAATTTAACAGAATTATGGCCCTTTGTTGATTTTTTCATTAATTACTATGTAGAAATTTTAGTGAACGCAACTCCTCTTTAAACCGGTTGGCAGATTTTGCTTAAACTTCCAGGGATTAACAACCTTAATGTGTAAAATGGTAGTAAAGGAAGGAATTTTTGCTGTGAACAAATTTAACAGAATTATGGCTCTTTGTTGATTTTTAGTTTCAACTTGTGGCACATGTAGTCCAAAAAATATTTGAGTCATAAGATTGACAGAACAGTGGCGTGTGGGGGCATCAGTGTCCTATGGACACATTTCTAGTTCATTAATGAGTCACTAATATTCAATGATGATATTGTTGAGAATTGCGTGCGCTATAAAACCCGACGGTTCCGTTAATCATGAATTATGAACTATGCACGGAAAAGTATTACTTCAATTGCCAATAAACTAAAATAAATTGCAGAGAAGAGGCTATATACTGGCTCAAATATGTAACAAAGTAAAATTAACTTTCAATTCTTGTTTTGGTATGAAACTGTCTAGGAAACATTGCATCATTCTTTGTCGTTCTGAGATAAGAAAGTCTTTCTTATAGTTAGATATCTTTTTAGAATAGATAGAAAGGTCGTTGACTTCAAACTACTTGCCCCCTCACCGCTGTTGGTTCGAATCCCGACTTTGGATTCTTTCATGTGAGGAAGCTATCCAGCTAGCTTACGGAACGTCGGTGGTTCTACTCAGGTGCCCGTTCGTGCCTGATAAAATGCACGGAGGGGCACCTGAGGTCTATACTGTGTCGGTGTGACGTAAAACCTTAATCAAACAAACAAAACAAAACTATTGCAACATTATAAAACAAAACTTTTATATGATTGAATGATCCAATGCAATTTGCATAAATTTTACTGTTATTAACTTGAAGCTGTGAGTGTAAAGAGGGTTTTACTGGAGAAGCGTGTGACGTTTACATCGACGAATGTGCGAGCAATCCATGCGCATCCGGAGCTAAATGCGAGGATTTGATTGGTAGTTATAAATGTCACTGTCCAAGCAGAAAAACTGGCGCAGATTGTTCTACAGGTCTGTTTTTTTTTGTATTAAATCTGTATTCGTTCAGTCTTTACTTCATGAGATTAGCATGTTATCTAAATATCCTTAAGTATGAACATATATTTAGGAGACCTTCACATCTGTAACAAGTGTATTTGGAAATGCCTATTCGAAGTCTTAGGGAAGGAAAACTTGAGCTACCAAAATACAGGTCCTATATTGGTTGCAGAGGCTAATCCAACACGTTGAATGTGAAAAGTTCAGGTATTCTCTTGATACCGAAACAAAAAAGAAAAATAGAAGTTGTTTAGATTTCTTTGTAATTTTAAAAAGGAAAAGATGCCCTATAAATGCTGCATTGTTCATGTACATAGCTCTATTTTCATTTGAAGATAAAACAGTTATTTCCCTTATTTTGCAAAAAAAAGATAAACAGCAAGCACAAAGCAATAACAGAAGTAAAAACGGCAACATTAATTGAATACATTGTAGTTTTAAAAAAAGGAATGTGAAAATATTAGACAAACCAGAGTAAAAATTTGTTTTATAGTCATCGATACAAACTTTCAACTTGATTTTCCTGCTACGGTCAGCACCATGGACTACGCACGTGTTGACATGAAACAAGACTTAACGTCTGCAACCGTCTGCTTTTGGATGAAAACAGACGACCAACAAAATCAAGGCACGCCATTCTCCTATGCAAATGAAGATGGCGACAACATGTTCACCCTGACTGACTATGACGGGTAAGAAATCTAAAAATAGAAATATAGACGGTTTTCGTACTTTTCGTAATAGACAATATTTACGACATTTACCGAGATTTGATATATAAAAAAGGTTTCATCGGTCAGATCTTATTTTATATCTAAAACCAACCTTTGTTCAATATTAAACCAATGAACACGTGAATCACAATGTACTAAAGGCGGCTTGGTCAATGTTTCCAGTTGAGGATTTAAATTGCTTCAACCTGTGGTGGAGAGAGTGGGTGGTAAGAAGTCGGTGCTAGGGTTAGGGGACGTAAGAGATGCTGCACTTTCAATTGTCATTAATACACGATAAAACCGAGTTCACGACTTTCAACTATTTTCTTTTATGCATTTGTTTTCATTTCATTGATTTACCGAGGGCACTGATTTTTTGCTAAAATTGACTAATGATTGCACGTTACACAATATTTCCCATTTAAATGCAAATAAGGATACCTGATTCACCAGTTAAAACAGATTTCATATCATTGTTCAAGGTTTGCGTTTTATGTGAATGGTGAAAAAAGAACGACTACGGCAAGAGCAAACACAGGAAACTGGTATCACGTCTGCGTCATGTGGGAGTCAAATCGAGGTCAGTGGAAGATATACATGAACGGAATTCCAATGGACAGTGGAAGAAGGCTGTCGAATGGACAAACGATCAAAGGTTTTATGTAGTTTCTTGCTTTACTAGTCACACCATTGAAATATTTCCCACTTTTTTAATTAAGACATTTTTATCAAGTACTTAAGGACGCTTGCTTTGAATTACCTGCCCCTCGTCACTTCAAATGCGCAGGGTGTTATGCTACTATATGGTTACTGGTATTTCACTTCAAATGGTTTTAATTGGTGATTATTTTAAACAATGGTTCACTAGTAAAATGCCTTTTTGACACCAACTACGTTCTCATTTTTCAATGATAATATTTAGATATTGATCAGTAAGTAAATAAGATTAATCAAATTTTTTATAATTACCAAGTACATTTCACGCTAATTGTGAGACGAACCCTAAATGACGTCAGTATGGGCGCTGCCATTTTGAAATGGACGTCAGGTAACTAAGTCAACGAATAAAAAAAATAATTTTAACATTTTAATAATATTACTGACTTTTTGAAAAAAAAAGAAAAACATGCCTAGAGATATTGAAGTCAGGGTTAACAAGACATAAATTTAAATAGTTTTACCATTATATTTAATAAAAAAATGCAATATTCAAATTTGGTGGGACAGACTATAATTACCTTCCTCATGAAGGTCTTAAGAAGGTTTTACACGGCTACTTGCTCGTGCTTGAAATAATGCACTGAGAACTCAAACATGCTAGTTAATTAACACGTTAATGTTTTCGGACTCAATATACGTCTGTTAATTGATAAAGTTTCATATAAATAAACCGCCTCCGTGGTCGAGGGGTTAGAGTCGATGACTTCTAATCCAGTTACCTCTCTGGCGTGGGTTCGATCCCCGGGAGATGCTTTGGTAGTTTAGCGCGGAGGAAGGTAGTCTAGTACTGGTGTAACTCTCCAGGAACGATGGTTAGGAAACTACCCGCCTATATGACTGAAATACTGTTGGGAAAAGGCGTAAAATGAAACAAACAAACAAATCATATAAATAAAGATGTTCTTTTATGAGGCAAGAAAAACATTTTTAGAATGGCGATTGTCAGGTCCATTAATAATCTAACTGTTAAGTTTGTTGCCATTTCCAAAATAATCTGGCGGAAACCAAAGATTATCCGAACAAGTTTTCTTCTTTAAAAAGAAGCATGCGAGAAGTCTTTTTACAGCTGTTGAAGATTTGTTAAATTGTTCAAATGACAGGAAAGTAAGAACTTCTAAATATTTGAATGTCATCTGCGAACAAAAGCAACATATCGGCTATTTCCGTCAGTCTCTCAGATTAAGAATAATCGGCGAGGTGTTCAGCAAAATTTCCATACACGTTTCATAAGGTGATAAAATAGTGCTTGGCTATTTTGTTACGAAATTACTCTGTTTTAACAGAAATCTGTCTAAAACACGTTTTCGCTGAATATGTCCAACATTTAGAACTCTTAGCTTGTATAGATCAAGTCAAAGTGAAAGCAGGATTATAAAATCAATTAAAATAAAATTATGCATCACAATTATATACTAGCAACAGTCTAAAAGCAAGTTTAACACTCAGTAACAATCACTCTTCAACTCCAAGAAACTCAAATAACCCCCAAAAAAAGCACATGCAGCTAGCGTTATTTACGTGCAAAGGTGGACTGGCGCGCAACTTGTAGCAACTAGTCTGCACGTTTCCTTGCACGACCTGAATGCTGCGCGTGCTAAAATGTCTTAACAATGTTCAAAATGGCGCACGAGTAGTTCAGATATACAGACTGTTGTGCGATACAAACATAAATACATAAATTAAATACATTAATATAGATCAATAGCATAACATTTGTTCCACATTGCATCTTACAAATTCGCAGTATATATAGATCTACAGATACTACAAGTAATAATGATAAATTGTTGAAAAGGGGTTGGGTCCGAAGCTTATAAATGCTTAGTTTTTAGCTCCATTTAAAACCCAATGAACGATGAACTTAATTGTTTTTTATTCAAAATTGAAATCTGACCTTTTGCATGTTTTGCATGTTTTGATTTTGCAGTCATTCGTCGCTAAAGAAGTCATTTCAATTTTGCATAAAAACAGTGCAACTTAGTGCAGCATAAACTTAAGTAAATATATTTGTACTTTTTATGGTTTAACTTTTCTTTAAAATTGTCAACAGCAGAAAAATAAACTGAGAAAAACCCCTTCATATGTATAATTTTAGACAAAGCAGTCATAAATAGAGGATATGAGGATATTCAAGTTTTTTCTATAAATACATGATTTATTTTCATCCAGTGGTATGAAAGCAGGCATTTCAGTAGTGGCGGCAGCCACGAGTGAAATGTGATAATTTTTATACCACAAGATAAAAATAAATCCTGTATTTGTAGAAACACACTTGAATTTTCTGTTTATTATACACAGTTTTTGTCTTTTTTTGACATCACCATTTGAAAGACTTTCCCTTAAATTTTGTATATTGGCTGAATATAGCAGAAAGTAGTTCGGAAAGAAACCAGTGAAAATACGAAACAAATGTTTCACTGCAGTGAAAATACTTTTTTTACAGTGAAAATACGGAAAAATGAATATACGCATTTTATTTCATTAATATTTTTAAATATTCCATTCATAAGTATATAATAAAATCTAATATTTTTTTAAAAAATATTAGATTTTATGACTGCTTTGTCTATAATTTTTTTTTCTAAAAATAGTACTTTAGGTTTGCGACCTCTTGTTGCGCATAATTAAAACAAGTGTGTCTGGGAAGGACCTTTACTGGCTAAGTGATGAGGAATGACCATAATTATCTAAAAATAACTGAGCTGTGCCAATGACTTGAACTGGTAATGACCCAATTGTTTTAAAAAATGTTGGCCAGATATACAATCCTTAAAACAATACCCCTTTCCAAATTTTGCAGTATTATAGCTTTTATAAAATTAATGTTTACTGTCACTTATTCTCGAATTCGCTGTTCACAAACAATAAACAATTTACTACAGTCGATCATAATTTTTCGTTTGAGTAAAGTCGTATTTCGATGTGAAGCATGCGCATAGCGATGTTTTTAGACTGTTTCTAAAGAATTAAGGCTGCAAATGAGATTCATTAAACTCAATTTGATACGCAAAAATTGATGCTGCCAGCAATCAACGTCAACACACTGTAGAGAGATCTGATGACCTCTCTAATCAGCATACGCATTATAGGTCCTACTGTCATAGAACTACTGCGTAAACATGACTACTGGTTCAATTCAGCATGTGTATTAAGCGTGAAGCACAAACGCGAACTATGGACTGGCTACGAAAGTTTTGTGCTATTTTAAGAAGAAGATTTACCGTTTACATGCGCCGATTTCTTGCATACAGGTATTAAGATAGTGTTGTAAGTAAGGAAGTGTAAGGAAGTGTCAAAATTCCAAGTACAATTTTATAGACAGATATATAGCGTAATACATTTTAATACTTTGAGTAATAGAATTAATGACATTGTTTTTTGAGAAAAATATATACGTTCACGTTGAGTATTTTTGTGAAGACAGCCAGCCTATCTGTAGTTGCTTTGATTTTAAATGAGACAAAAAGTAAACACTTTTCAAAGGAATTGTTTTCTTGTAAAGGTGGTGGACAATTCATCATTGGACAGGACCAAGATACGTTAGGTGGCGGGTTTTCCAGTCCCGAAGCATTTATTGGCCAAATTACTCAGCTGAACATGTGGAGTAGAAGTCTGTCTCTAAGAGATATTGAATCACTGCGACTAAATTGTTCGTCAGAAATGGGTGACGTCATAGCCTGTGCGGATATTTCCGGGAAAACAAAAGGGGCCGTCTCTGACACTCCTGTGGAGTTTTGTAAAGGTAAAAGATATAAACGACCGATTTTTTTGCAACGGCAACGAGAATGTCGACATCACTGTAACAATACCTCTAACTTTTTATTCAAAAAAAAATGTCGAGCTAAAAAGTTCGTCCTCTATAAATCATGCATACCTAGTTTGAGCTGAAAGCGTATCGGTAGTTAAAGCTGTGTGTTAGTAGTTAAAGCTGTGTGTCGCTAGTTAAAGCTGTGTGTCGGTAGTTAAAGCTGTGTGTCGCTAGTTAAAGCTGTGTGGCGCTAGTTAAAGCTGTGTATCGGTAGTTAAAGCTGTGTGTCGGTAGTTAAAGCTGTGTGTCGCTAGTTAAAGCTGTGTGTCAGTAGTTAAAGCTGTGTGTCGGTAGTTAAAGCTGTGTGTCGGTAGTTAAAGCTGTGTGTCGGTAGTTAAAGCTGTGTGTCGCTAGTTAAAGCTGTGTGTCAGTAGTTAAAGCTGTGTGTCGGTAGTTAAAGCTGTGTGTCGGTAGTTAAAGCTGTGTGTCGGTAGTTAAAGCTGTGTGTCGCTAGTTAAAGCTGTGTGTGTCGGTAGTTAAAGATGTATGTCGCTAGTTAAAGCTGTGTGTCAGTAGTTAAAGCTGTGTGTCGGTAGTTAAAGCTGTGTGTCGGTAGTTAAAGCTGTGTGTCGGTAGTTAAAGCTGTGTGTCGGTAGTTAAAGCTGTGTGTCGCTAGTTAAAGCTGTGTGTCGGTAGTTAAAGATGTGTGTCGCTAGTTAGAGCTGTGTGTCAGTAGTTAAAGCTGTGTGTCAGTAGTTAAAGCTGTGTGTCGCTAGTTAAAGCTGTGTGTCGCTAGTTAAAGCTCAAAGCGTTAAGCTGTGTGTCGGTTGTTTTAGCTGTAAGCATTTACCTAGTTCAATCTGTAAGAGATTTTGTATTTAGGCTGTAAGAATTTTTATATTCCAGCACAAGTAGCTGATAATAAAGCATTGGCTGATATACTAGTTATATCCGGATGAACGTGTCTATATAAACATGCATAGCATTTGAATATTAATGACCACACCTTAAAATTAAATATATAAAGCATTTGCACTATTAACTATTATATTGGTAAAAGAAATATACAGCAAACACTACAATTAAAAAAAGGTTATTTATTATTGTTGAATTATTGCACTGTGTTCATAAATTTGATTTATTATACTAGTAATTATGAACTTTGCAGTAGTCCTATACCATTCCATTTTCTGAAAACAACATTTTTGAAAAGGATAAAAATACAGAAGTATTTACGGAACTATTTTTACTGAATTTATACACGTTTACTACGGCTATTAAATTACAGCCTGTCCGACACTAGATGATATCAGCCATGGCAATGTTACTTACACCGGTTTGACAGCGGGATCAGAGGCCTCGTATAGCTGTAAAAAAGGATACGATCTAGCTGGTCGCAGGACAAGACTTTGTATTATTACTGGAGAATGGGAGGGTAATGTGCCAGTATGTGCAGGTATGGTTTTTCAATCGGACTAAATATTTGAAGCTATATTGTAGAGTTGATATTTGTCAAATTGGTCTGGTTACCTGTTATCAAAGTAAATTGTTAACGATATTACTTCGCACATTTGTAATGGCATCGGTAGCGCATGAATTTCAAGATTTATTCGGAGAGAAAACATGACTTTTACCAAAAATACACTACATTGGCCATATTGCACCGTTTTCATTTGTTAATGCGTTTATTAAATTAAATATTCAATGTTAATTCAATTGTTTCCAACAAGCAGTGAATTATTTCAAGGGAGCATAACCTTCCGAGAAGAAGAACAACAACAACTAAAACTAATAAAAAAAATTATATTAATAAAAAAATCAATGAAATAGAAAAATAAAATGAATACGATGTAAACAAATAGTGTCATTCTTATCTAATAGCAGACAAAAAGTACAAATCAATATTGATTATTTGTTATGACAGCCGTACAGTGTGGACACCCCGGAGGGATCTTAAATGGCTGGACCGAGGGTGAGCGTTTCACATATGATAATCGGGTCCGTTACAAGTGTGAAAGAGGATACGAATTAATTGGTCCTGCCACAAGATATTGCGGGGAATTTGGCTTCTGGGAAGGCGATATTCCCGTTTGCGAACGTGAGTACAATTTTTACATATTTTTTAAGTTGGTATATTGGCCAGTCATGTTTTCTTTAGTATAAAAATACCTTCCGTTGCATATAAGTACACTCCATGAAAGAAAACTGAAAATCCTACATACAATCATATAAGAATTAGCACAATCAACTCGGAGCTATGTAGGCGGTAAATATCTAAAGTTAATTCATATAAATAAATGGAATGGCCGAAACACAATATTCTCATCACAGTACTTTATCTGCCTAAAGCCGTCGTTTTCTTGTTATTTTTAAATATTTATTTGAAAAGCGACTTGTTGAGCAAGATCTCGTGTTGTTCGACGTCATATAAACGCTCATTAGAAATTTCTTTTTGGAGAGGTCATCAGACCTCTCCGCAGTATTCAGGCTGATTGCTGGCGGCATCCATTTTTGCGTATCTAATTGTAGTGAATAAAACTCATTTATGGCGTAAAATCATAAGGAGCAGTCTACAAAAATTGTTTTGCGCATGCTCCGTTTCAAAATCTGACTTAACTTAAACGAAAAATTAACATCGAAGTGAACAAATCGGTACGTAGAAAAATCGGAAAATATCTTTTACGTCACGCTACGTGGATGTTTCATTCCGTTTTAATCTTTTAAATTGTATACATCAATTACTGTACGTATTGTTTTCTGAATAGCGTTTTACTATTTCATGTTCCGATAAATAGTAACAGTGAACATTACAGGTACAATATCACCATGCACTATTATATGACCGAGAGAACCGTGTACTGAAATGTTGCTGCTCCATAAACATTTTAACCTGTACGACTAAATAACGCAACGGAGATTTTTTGGCGCACATGGCATAAATTTTACTCAAGATTTTCCACAAATATTAATTGTGGTTGGATGCATGCATCTTTATATACTGCTTATTCCAATCAAATGATATAAAAATTTTTTATGTAAATCTGGGACTTAAAATTGATTAACATACTTAATGCCCGTTTTGGAAAATGTAGAGGAAATATTTCCATATACTTATCAAAACATTAACCGAAAATTTGCTTATTGAATTTTACAAGAAACTTTTATTTTGATACTACTTTTATTATGATACTATATATATATTTAATGTACATGATAAATTCAATTTTGTTAATTGTAATTTATAACCATTCAATGTGTCTTTTATGCAAAAATATCGCCAAATATTTTCGAAATAAACAAATCTCTCACAGCAGCAAATAGATCTCTCGCATGCTTCTTTTTAAAGAAGCAAACTTGTTTTTTATTTCATTGAGTTTGCTACGGAATTTCTAAAATAAAACAAATGGCTGTTAATTAATTGATTAACATTATTATGGAAGAAAAAATAACAAAAATCATTGGAGAGGACAAACCATGCGCTCCAAATAGACAATAAGGAAATTAGCGAAAGAAACCAACAGTTTCGACAGCAGGTATGTTATGTAAATTATTTTACATACATTTAGTTCTCTGATAAATGTTAGCTGTTAAATAATCACTTTAAAAGTTGATTCTATATTTCAAATTTATCACAAACATCCGTGTTTATACTGAAATAATTAGATAATGATTTCTTATTTCTTCATTCAGATGCGAGCTCTCGAAATTCAAATAATAGCCACAAGGAACGAGCTGTTCTTGTGTAAACAACAATTGGAACAAAGAACTGATAAATATATTGGAGGAAAACCGCAATCAGGTAAACTTTATATATTCATCTTCAACTATTTACCTATGTGATAGAAGTGTAAAGGTCTTTTATTATCTATCTTCGCTACATATCGGCAATGCCTGTTTCAAAGA